TCTCAGTTTATGCAGGCTCTCACTCTTGACCACATGAACGCAGCTATGCGTGTTCTTCGCTACATCAAGGGTCATCCTGGTCAAGGTATTTTTCTGAGCGCCACCAGTAATCTCCAGATCTCGGCGTATTGTGACTCCGATTGGGCTAGCTGCCCATTGTCTCGTCGTTCTGTTAGCGTGTATTTTATCATGTTGGGTACGTCTCCAGTATCATGGAAAACGAAGAAACAAACTACTGTCTCTAGGTCGTCTGTAGAGGCAGAGTACATGGCTATGGCTAATGCTTGTGTAGAGATACGTTGGATGCGAGGGATTCTTATTGCTTTGGGCGTGCCTATATTGTATCCTCCTAGATTGTATTGTGACAATCAGTCCGCGTTGTACATTGCAGCGAATCCTGTTTTTCATGAGCGTATGAAGCATGTGGATGTAGATTGTCACACTGTTCGAGAGAGTGTCCAGCGGCATGAAGTCTCGACACGATATGTCCCGACGAGATATCAGTTAGCCGACATTTTTACCAAACCTCTAGCGAAACCCAGTTTTGATTTTCTGCTGTGCAAGTTGGGCATTCTGGATCTTCATGCGCCATTTGAGGGGGAGTGTTAGCGGGTATTTGTAGTTTTGGACTGTAATTAGTTTATCGGGCCCACTTCCAACTTATAACCCTAAGCCCGCTTGTACTTGTATATATACACTTGCTTGTGATTAATAAAATCAGATCAGTTTTACTCTAAATTTTTACAAACACTACACACAGAGTTTCACAAGAGTGCCTGAACTATTTTTAAAACCAATGTGAGAGGACAAAAAAAGGTAATTTCCAACGTGAATTCAAATAGTTTAAATGAAAGTCTTAAAATATAATCTATAGAATACACCATTACTTTGTTTCATTGTCATATATACGTAGTATATATTATAAATATTTTATTTTTAAAATTCTATTCAAAGAATTATTATTGAATTGAAGTTACTGATCAAAGCATATTGAATAGTTGTAGTTTTGAAGAATCGATATATAATACTCCCTCCGTCCCAAAAAGAATGGGACGGTTTGACCAAAGTGGCAATTTAAGGAATGCCTTTTTGGCCCTTGACCTTCCCAAAATACCCTCAAAAGTAAAAATTATAGTGGGGCTCATTAAAAAAGCAAATAGTGTATACTAACATTAAAATAACATTAAAGTACAATAGGAAGTACAATTGCATTAAATGTATTCTCCTACACACTTGCTTACACGGCAGTATTGTCAGGCCAAAAACATCCCAAATTTTTTGAGTTTTTTGGGAAATTGGTTTCCCTCCAATCTGATCCATCCAAAACAAAAACAAAAAAAAGAACAACACCTTCTATTTAAGGCATTCATTCAATGCCAAACATTTAAAGCTTTCTTTTTTTGGTCTTCCTTTCCAGGATGGCAGATTCCCCCATGGTGTCATCCCCCACTTTTTCTTCTAATTCCATTCCCTTTTCAGATGATGAATCAGCTTCCTTTAACCAGCTTCCTCCTCTAATTGATGTGCCTCTTTCCAGCCTCAGAAGTCCTGAAACAGGGAGTGACAACAACAGCAAAGGCTTGCTACAAAATCAAACTAGAAAAAAAGTTTCTGACTTGTTACTACAACACGTAAGGAATGGCAAACTTCAGCACGGTGGCATCAATAAAGTTGCTAATGAACTCAACATATGCAGGCAAAGAGTAAGCAGAATATGGTCCATAGCCAAATATCAATTGGATGTTGGTCAACCCGTTGATGTTCAATGTCAGTGGAAAGGAAAGTGTGGGAGAAAAAGAACACCTATTGACACAGAAAAGATGGCAGGTGTGCCATTTAATAGGCGTAAGAACATGCGTGCACTTGGATATGCCATGGAGGTGTCAAAGTCAACAGTCCACAGATGGCTTCAGTTAAAAGAGATCAGAAGGCATTCCAATGCCATTAAGCCACTTCTAAGTGAAGAAGGTGAACTGAAAAGACTTAAATTCTGTGTGGACCATGTTGTTGCCCAATCAATCCCCTTGAACCCAACCTTTCATGACTTTTATGATCACATTCATATTGATGAAAAGTGGTTTGAGATCAGCAAAAAGAGCACAACATTCTATGCATTACTAACTGAAGCAGACCCCTATAGGACAGTTCAAAACAAAAGTTTCATACCCAAAATAATGTTTTTAGCAGCTGTTGGCAGACCAAGGTATGGGGTTGATGGGGAACTTATGTGGGATGGTAAAATAGGAATATTCCCTTTCACTTACTTAGCAGCAGCTCAAAGGGCCAGTAAGAATAGACCTGCAGGGACTATGGAAGTGAAACCAATCCCTAACATCACTAGAGAGGTCATGCTGCGCATGTTACTCACTAAGGTACTGCCTGCAATAAAGGAAAAATGGCCATGTTCATCGAGGAATATTATTATCCAACAGGATAATGCCAAACCACATGTGGATGGAAGTGACCTTCACTTTCTGCAAGCAGCTACAGAAGGAGAATGGAACATTAAACTTAAATTTCAACCCCCCAACAGCCCAGATCTTGATGTACTGGATCTTGGGTTCTTTAGGGCCATTGATTCATTGCAGGACCAGTCAGCTCCCAGGTCATTGGATGACTTGATTAGTGCTGTAACAACAGCATTTGAAGAACTATCACCTGAAAAGCTGAATAATGTGTTCTTAACCTTACAAGGGGTCATGTGTCAAGTTTTAGCCACCAATGGAGGGAATCAGTTCAAAATCCCTCACATTGGGAAAACCAAACTGGTGAGACAAGGTACACTGCCTCAGAACTTAGGGGTCAGTATTGAAGTCTTTCAGAAGGCACACGCATTCTTACAGGAAAGGATGTGAGTACTCTTCTTTTTGTTTCTGTGTGCAAAACATGGTCAGTGGAAAGCACAAATGCTAAATGCACTTCCAAATGAAAACCTTTTTGCAACTTTTTTGTAAGCCAAAGAAGAAGTGTAGTACCTAACTGACATAGACTTAAGGCTTGTATGTATTCTGTAGCATCTGTAATATCAAGTTCAAGTATGACTCTTTTTTGTAGCATCTGTTTTATGAAATTCCAGTAAGCCCAGTGTAGCATCTGTTATATGAAGATGAAGTATGACTCTTAATGCTTGTGTTTATGTATTGTGTAGCATATGTTTATCAAGTTAGAGGTCACATAACCTAACAGAGAACACGGGTAGACCCAACACAAAGACCAATTGAGTATTGTAAGTCTCCAACCTATACGGGGTGACATTACAATATAGCTTGAAACACAAATAAAGCTCACATATATCCAATTTGTAAGAAAATTGTAATTTCGCATCATAAGTTTGCCAATGAACACAGAAGAGGGACATTCAAATAGCATGCATAATGTAACTTAAAGGAGCAGAGAGAATACTCTGTCTAAAGCGTCGTCCCTTAGCCTCATCTCGAAGGGGCTGAGAAAAAAAAATTTCATCATCAGACATCTCTAGGATGCGCTCAAATGTAACAGATTCTTCGTCCTCCCAGTCCTCTTCCTCAGATCTTTCTTTATCCTCCTCCGATGGAAAATGGTCTCCCCCAAGATACTTTTTACGGTACCACCACGTTGGATCCGTATCTGAAGTAGTACCAGATCCACTATCTCCAGAGTCGTATTTAGGGATTCGATGCTTCAAAGAAGTTTTGTTTTGCGATGGATTAGGTGTTTCCTCATCCGTATCGCTTAATAGCTTGAAGCTTGGCATCGTAGGGTCACGAATCACCATGACTGGTGATTCCAAATCGAAGTGGGAGAGAGGAACAAAAATCAGAGGATAGATCCAGAGAGAGGAAGAGCTTGGCGACAGGGAAGAGCTTGGCGAAGAAGTAGGTTGGGTGGGAATCAAGTGGCGTGGATTGATTAAAGTGGGTTGGGGGGAATCAATTAGGGCAAAGGGTAAATGGGTCTTTTTTTGGCAAATGTTACAATCTTTACGGGACGCAATTTTTTCGAAACGTAACGATCTTTTTGGGACGGAGGGAGTACTTTTTTTTCTTGGAGGAATACTTTTTTTATTGGGGGGACACTTTTTGTATTGGGAGCACTTTTTTATTTATTAATTTTTCCTTTTCCTAATACCCGAGTACTACATAGTTAAAACAAAATAGTTGGGGCTTTGGGGCATTGGCCCCCTACTCATTTAATGAAGATTTGCCTCTACATGGTTGTAAAACGAACCAAATCAATCAAATATTGATAAAGATTATATCCATATGCATTAATTTTGGCTGATATTCGTATTCATATATGTATTTAGTTCGAATATTTTTAGAGATTTATATTCGATTCGTTTATCATATCAAGGATATTCATTTCTTAAAAAATTAGTTTGTTTAAAATTATTTGGTTCTTTTACAATATCTTATGAATATTTAATTTATTTCTTAAAAAATATGAAATATTAAACTATTTTTCCCAAAAACTCTTTTTATGGGTATAGTTTGGAAGTTACTTTTAAGAAACAAATTTAAAACTTATAATTTAGATATAACTTATGGGTATAGTTTGGAAATTTTAAAAATTTAAAACATACATTTGAATGTTAAGAAATAAGTGAATTGCTTATTTATTTTTATAACTAACTATTTTAACTCATCTTTTCAAATATATTCTGATCTGATGCGTACAAATATCAATGGCCTACATAAACTTTACACCCTTTGAGAAAGATCCAAAAAATATATTTTAATTACAAAATTAGGCATTGGGCTGGTACTTGGGCCTGGCCCAACACCACACCACTCTACTCACTCTAAAACCCTAAAGACTCCCCAATCTCCTATATAATAACTCATATCTCCCTCCACTCAACCCAATTACAATACTCTCCTTGCCATATTCTCTCTTTTTTCATGTATATATATCATCTTGTCTATCTCTCTATTCATCATCTTCTCTATATATCGTTTTAGTAACTAAACTTGATTTTTTTTCTAGAATGAAATATCTAAATTTTAAAGAAAATTTCACTAAAGATTCACTAAAGAAAATTTTATATATTTCCATTTTTTTAATTTTAACTCCATTTTTTTTCTTTTTGTCATATTCTTTTTGTTTTTTCTTTTCTAAACTCTAAAGAAAAAGAGGGTGGAAGTGGGTTGAAGAAGAAAGCAACGGAATCTGAGAAAAAGGAAAAACTATGTAATCAAAATTAAAAATATATAAAAACGAAAGAGATGAAAAAAGAGGGCAGTGTTTGTTTTATCAGAAATGCAATAACAAATTGAATAGTTTGAAGGATCATAAGCCTTTAATTTACCGATTACTTAGACTATTATTTTTTTTAGAAGTATTTCTCAATTGGTTTCATACCTTTGGTCCAATTTGCAACAGGAAGTGATAGGAAAAGGGAGGGGTAATAGATGTTCTTTTTCAAGGCTGTTTGTTACTTTTTCCCCTGTTAATTTGCTAAGATGAAATAATTCTTCAATGTGTATTTAAGATTATTTTTTTTTACAAATTTGCTCATGTGTTCTGTGATTGTTTTTGATGTTGATGGATTTCAAATTTTAGTTCTCATAGGCCTGGTTTTTAGCTGTATATAAGCGTGTCATTTTTTATGCAATTTTTCTCTCTCACTTTGTTGATAAGGAGAGTGGAGATGAGCAAGGCATCACTATCACATGGAATTTCGCCATTCTTGATAACGAAACTCGATATTGCGTTGTTGGAGAAAACAAACTTATGCACCACGTTATTCGAATCCCACCATGAAATTGGTTTTTGGTGGGTTGCCGGGGATCCCAATGCACCGTTTTGATTTAATGGATTTTGCTAAGGTTGATGCAAGAATGAGAGAAGATTACATCCTTACATGTTATTTCATAGTTTTTCAAAAGTGTTTCTATTACGGTTGATTTTGGCCAGTTTGTATATTGAATCATGAAAAGTTTTTGCAGACGTGGCGGGACAAGTGTGTAGCGAGTATTGGAGAAGAACATTAATGGGCGTAGCGTACGTTGCCATGTTGTAGCTCCAAGATTTAAGGCAAGTGTTTTTCAATCAATACTTCTTTTGTGGTTAAGATTAGAAAAGTTGGCAGAAAATTCATTCTATTCAGGTTGCATATAATCCATCTAGCATCGAGAAAACATCATATTTATTATAAGGGGAAAAAAAAATACTAATCAGGTGTTTATGTAAATCAGAAAGAAGGATAAATGGGAACATCCTTCAAATGTTTTTAAATTTATATCAATAATATGGTTTTAAAAATATACTTCAAGGAATAGGCTTCTTTAACAAGTGGGACTAATAGCATATTGATATTCACTATTCAACAAACCAAGAAATATCCCACATGGAAGTAGCACCAAGATAGCATATAATCAGGTTTCACTGAATTCAAAAGATTATTATCAATTTTGGTGGATATATATAAGCTACTAGGATGTGAATTAGTCTTACAAAAGGTTTAGCCTTAGGAATGCATCTTATTGTTGCAAAGTTAACGAACTGTCAACAATTATCCAAAAAAATATTACAAGTCATGGTAAGGCTTCTTACTGTGTTGAATACTTGAATAGTGTGAAATGTGTGACCCCGGCTCAGGCAGTTCACCATAAAATACCCACTATATACTATATAGATGGACAAAAATACATTCTAACATAACAACAAAAACAAGTATTATTTGGAGTAAGCATTAGAATATGTGAACTATTAGAGTCATTGAAGCATTATAGACCAAGAAAATATGTATTTATGCCATGTGTTGTGTGTGTGTGTGTTATGTGGTACAAATTTTTTCTTTGAAGATGAAGGAATCCATTGAAAACTCATGATAAATTAGTCTTACTCCCTTCAACGTGTACTCTGTCAACGACTCTAGCTCTCACTTTTGAAGAATTTGATCTTTTCTATGCTAAACTTAAATTCCTCAATTTTTTTGTTTTTGTTTTTTAAACTTTTTCTTATGTTTTTTCAAATTTTTTTGATAGTACAAAATTTTTCCGTGAAGACGAAGAAAATCCAGGATAAATTAGTCTCACTCTCTTCATCATATAATTTGTAGTGCCCTATCCCTTCATTTGGAAACATGAAGCTCTGGCTCCGAAGGATAAGAATTTGATCTTTAATACCCTCGAGGTTAAATTTCTCATATTTTTTTCATTTTTGATTTTTTTTTCATTTTCTCGAGTTTTCTCAATCCCTTTTCAATGGCACAGAACATTTCTTTAAACAAGAAGAAAACCAAGCCGGCGCTGGAAGATGACACGATAGAGCACCACGCGATCACAGAGGCCACGGACAGAGGGGAAGACGCACAGACGCGGGAAGAGAGGTTTCCCTCTCCCACAACACAACAATAGTCGGGTACCAGAGTGTGGCTATGGCCAGTTCAGAATTTATGGTTGTAGCAGGCCACAGAAGAACCATTTTTGTCGTGCAAAATGTGAACATTGCAATTGGAGGGATCCAACTTGGGCAACCCGGGTGATATAGAAAATTGAGTTCAATGTCGTCTTAGCCTCGTGTATATGTGTATACACGGCTACGATGACAATAAACTCAATTTTCCATATTACCCGGGTCTTCCAAGTTGTCTCCCCCAATTGCATTGTTCACATTCTGCGCACCACCAGAAATGGTTGTCCTTCCGCAGCATGCTACATCAATAAATTCTGAATCGACCACAGCCACACATGTGGTGTCCGGCTATTGTTGTGCGGTGAGAGAGGACAACCTCTCTTTGCACGCCTGTGCTTCCTCACCTCTGTCAGCAGCCTCTGCCATTGTGTGGTGCTTATCATGTCTTCTTCTGGCGCCGGCTTGGTTAACTTCCTGTTCAAAGAGATGTTTTGTATCATCAAAAAAAGATTGAGAAAACTTCTCATAATGAAAAAAACCAAAAAAGAGAAATTTAACCTCAACTGTACGAATGATCAAAATTTTCATTGTTGTGAATGATCGTTCTATGATTGTTTATTTTATAATCCATCAGCGCCATCCGAGTGTGATGTTCTTAGATTAAGAGATAGGAGACTATACATGATGAAGGGAGTAAGACTAATTTATCCTAGGGGTTTTCTTTGTCTTTAGAGAAACTCCGTACCATCAAAAAAATATTTTAAAAACTTAGGATAATGAAAAAAACCCAAAAAAAGTGAGAAATTTAACTTGAGCATAGGAAAAATCAAAGTTTTCAAAGGTGAGAGCTAGAGTACTTTTCATATTACCTGACGAAGAGAGTAAGGGGCTGTTTGTTTCAGCCTCTTAATGGTTCAGATGTCTGAATGATTCAGCACTTAATGGTTCAGACGGTTTGTTTCAGCCTCTTAATGGTTCAGATGTCTGAATGGTTAACAGATTTGCCTCTGAATGGTTAAGTATTATACAGAGTCTGAATGGTTAAGAGCTCTTATCTGAATTGATCAGACATTTGCCTCTGAATAGTTAAGCAATATACTAGCTCTTAATGGTTCAGACCTCTTACTGGTTCAGCACTTAATGATTCAGACCTCTTACTGGTTCAGCACTTACCTATTCAAAAGTTGCCAAACAGCCCCTAAGACTAATTCATTCTGAGTTTTCAATGGACTACATTTTACTCGTGCGTCGCACAGTCAGAATAATACTAAGTATAACAATAATTCATAGTTCATGTTAATAATAAATAACATACAATTGCTAAATTTAAGATACATAACTTTAATAGGCTTTACACCAAAGTACTATCGATTTGGATAATAATACTTGCAATGTTTTGATATTTTAAAAGTGCATGATTCAAATCAAGTACAAAGTAAAAACTATCGGAGTACATGTTGGTTTGGAAAAAAGAGGAGGTGCTGGGCTAATTCAATTCCAGCCCATCTCATTAAAATGTGGAGTATAACCCAACTATCATCCGATGCTCATGCCGCTCCACACTTCGGACTTGTTTGGGAACATCGTTTTCGATTAGCGTTAGTGTTTGGGATAAAATTTTAATGGTGTAGATTAATTTTGAAAATGCTAACGCTAAAGGGTCAGATAACCTTTTCATAACGCTAATGCTAATCTTCTCTATTCCGCACCTCACTCTCTTTATCTTCTGTGCCCCTCTTACCTATAGCCTCATCTTACCCTATCACGTAAGGTTTTTGCGTCCCTCTTCTCAAATTTTAAAGTCTTTTGTTATACAAAGACGAAGGGCCTGTTTGGGAATAACATTAGCATTTTGAAAAAGTTATCTACGGACAGCGTTTAGCATTAGCGTTTTCAAAAGGGTTTGTACCGTTAATATTTTATCCAAAATGCTAACGCTAATCTCTAACACTATTCCGAAACAGGCTCGAAACACAAATTTGTGAAGTGTTTTAATATGTTGTTTTGACTGAAATCATCCCTAGCTATGTGGAACCATACATTACATACACTAATAGTTGTATCGTAATATAATACATTTGCCTATAACTTCCATAGAATTTTGAAATGTAAAGCATTTTTCAACAATGATTTTCATACATAACAATTGAAATTCATGTTTAGATTCCCAACAAAGGGCAGAATGTGGATTGATCGAATTTTTCAAATGAACTTTTAAAAATAGGGTTTGTTTTAATTGTGTAAACTTTAGGGTAAAAAAAGTGCAGTGTAAAAACAATGATGAAGTGAGGTACTACCCACCAATGGTATTTACATTCTTGAATTAATTAGGCGTATTGTTGGAGTAGAAAAGGTTGGATTTTTTATACTTTTAAAAAGTTGTTTTAAATACTTTTTTTAATAGAAAAATGTTTGTTTATAAAAGAATTTTACAAATCTTAGTTTTTAAGACTAAAAATACTTCTATACTTAAAAAGACCCTTTTTGTGTATAAAGATGTTAAAACATACACAGGGGTATGTTTGTGACGTAATTGGGTTAAAATTAGGCCAAGCGAATACCCAATTGGGCAAACTTGGACCCAAAGTCACTTATTTGAGTTTTAAAATTAATTAAATGATTAAGATAATAAAATGAAGTAGGAGACGAGTATTTATTCATTCAGCCGTTCTCGTAGAAATCACGCGATACAGAGAGAGATCGAACTAGGCGTGAAAAAATGAGGGGTTGCTCGCTGGTTAAACGCCACAATGGCTGGTGTTTACCGACAAGGCTAGTTTAACGCTTCACACCATCTTAAAGAGGAGGACAAGGACTTTTGACCGCCGGGAGTCACACATCCTAGAAGCTGAGTCCTGAAGTCACAAATCCTAAGAGTGTGTAACTAGACTCGCAGGTAAACATCGCCGATGGTGGCATTTAACCGGCGAGTAGTCCCTCATTTCTTCGCGCCTGGTTCTCTCTCTATTTCGCATAATTTCTACAAGAGTGGCGGAATGAATACCCGTCTCCTCCTTCATTTTATTATCTTTATCATTTACAGAGTAATTAATTTTAAAATCAAATAAGAGACTTTGGGTCCAGGTTTACCCAAATGGGTATTCGCTTGGCCGAATTAGGTCCCAAACGTACCCTTGTGTATATTTTAACATTTTTATGCACAAAAAGGGTTTTTTATGTATAAAAGTATTTTTAGTTAGTTTTAAAAACTAAGATTTGTAAAATTCTTTTATAAACAAGTATTTTTCTATAAAAAAGTATTTAAGAACAGGTATAAAAGGGTTACCTGTCAAGTAAATGAAGTAATATCCTTCTTTTTATTATGCTAGTAAATAGATTTCATGCATTTTTCCATACTACGTATAAAGTAATATCCTCCTTTTAGTTTTGCATAGTAGGTATGTTGATGATACCATTCTTAAACTAATAATGCATGGCATTAAAAAAAGTTACATGTTTTCATCTTTATTGTAAACTACTCGTATTAGTAAGCTCTTAATTGTAATTTATCTATATGGCTACTCCACTAATATAAAAGTTGTACTTGTAAGCACACCTATCCGTTTATATTATGGCTAGTCCACTATTATGTTTTCCTACTATAACATAATATTTTCTAATTATTTTTTAAAAAGTAGATTGGAAATAGACTTGGCACCCCAAAATTTTAAAATTTAATGTTCTCGATCATGTTCTTTCTCATTTGAATTATTGTGTACACACCTCACTATCTTTTTAAAACTAATTAATGTTGCTTTTGTTTGCTTCTCCATCTAAATGTTCCAAACTTTGTAAGCTTTCTTATTCAGTGTAGATTTTGATCATCAGATTATTTTTACTAAATCAGCTTGGCATTGTTTTTAAATAATATGATATGATGATCATTAGATTATTTTTACTAAATCAGCTTGGCATCGTTTTTAAATAATATGATAGGATTTTAAAATAAATGTTCCCCCGTGATGTCAAATCCACAAATGAGAATTGGAGAACCAAGGTCATTTCTATTAGAGTATAAAAAGTGGGGTAATCTTACACCATTTTATTGGTGTAAGATTGTTATGTCTATTCAATTAGAGCATCAACTGTGCTTCAATCATAAAATTAATTGTTCCAACACCCTTTAACCCTCAATAAACCTCCCAGCCCAGCCCGTCCTTAATATATCCCTGCACACTGTCTAATTGCATCACTCAAATTTTATTGACTTTATGGCCAATTTTTTTGGTCAAAATTTGGGTGGTGCAATTGGAAGAAAGTGCAAGGATGCGTTAGGGATGGATCGGACTGGGGGTTTACCGAAAGTATAGGGATATGAAAAATTGATTGTACGATCGAGCACCATAAACGTGCTCCAATTGAATTGGTGTAACAATCTTACACCAATACAACAATAGCATTACCCTAGTGCCTCCAAAGCTCCCGCCCATTGCGGGGAAATTTATATTTTGGACAAATTTTGAGAATCTTCAAACAATTTTACAGATATACACAACCACAAGCGACAATAAACTCAATCCTCCACATTAACCAGGTTGCCCAAGTTGGCTCCCCCAAAACAAAATGTTCACATTTTGCACACCAGAAATTGTGGTCCCTCCACAGCTTGCTACAGCTGTAAATTCTGAACCGGCTACAACCACATTGTGGTGCCTGTCTACTGCGTGTGCCAGTGGTAGTAAGCCTGTTTCCAACAATATCCATGGTTGTCGCCCCTCTTCCTGCTCATGTACGTCTTCCCCGCAATCACAGCCCCTACCATCGCGTGGTTCTCTACCATCTTCTCTTCCGACAATATCTTGGTTTATTTCCTGTTCAAAGAATTGATCTGTGCAAAAAGAGATCTTTGAGATCTCTTTTCGCACAGAACATTTCTTTGAACAGGAAGCAAACCAAGCCAATGCCAGAAGAGGAGGCGGTAGAAGACCACGTGGTGGCAAAAACAAAGGACTGAGGGGAAGACGTACGGGAGCAAGAAGAGGGGCGGAAATAGCTTATATTGTTGGAAATGGGAATCCTGTCACTGCGATCTTTGGTAGCACAACAATAGCCGGGAATCATAGTGTGGCTGTGTCTGTTTTAGAATTTGCATTTGTATCAGGGCGTTGAGGAACCATCATTTCTGGCTTGTAGAATGTGAACATTGCAATTAGGGGGAGCCAACTTGGGCAACCCGGGCAATATGGAGGATTGATATTACTGCCGTTTGTGGCTGTGTATATCCATAAAATTGAATGAGCATTCTTAAATATTTGTCCAAAATATAAATACTATGGGTTGTAATCAATACATTTGGGGTAGGAATTCATTTTCTTGAAGAGGAAATAAGTGTTACAAGGGGTCTGAGTTAGTAAAAGTTGTTACAAGATGCTAAATTGTTTGAGTTTTAAAGTCTTTAAATACTCTCTTGCTTTGTAATATGAAGATAATCATACTCATTATCCAATTTCAGTCTCTCTTTCTCTCTCAGTTCATCTCTCCCTTTCTCCCCTCCATTCTGATGCATTTATGAGAATCATTTCTTCTGATTGTCAACTCTAGCTTCATCCACGAGGGTTCTTCTATGTTCTTGAATCTTCCTACGTTGAACCGCTATTAGCAGCAGTTGACTCAGATGTGCGAACTCGACGTTGAAGATGAACTGCAGGAGGTAATTGAGGCTGTAGAAAAGGTTAGTTTTCATCCACTGTGTTATCTCCTATTTATATATTTCTGTATTTATTAATATATTAATATGGGTATCCTTTAGGAGCTGTGATAAATGTATATTTTCACCTATTTTATGAGCTTAATTTCATAACATTTGGTTCATCAGAAGAGTATTTTATATCTTACAAGTGTTTTTTGTGATTTAGGTGTGAATACATAGCAATTATGGAAAGTAAAATGGAAGAAATTGAAAAAGATTCAAGCACAAATTCAAGAATTACAAGAGCGAGCCACTTTGACTTGCACCTATTTACGGACCTGGAGACGCAAGAAAACCTTTTGTGATCTAAGTTTCCCTTCGCCGGTTCTTCTATTTTCTGCAATTTAAAGATCCGTTTACATCCCCCTTCTATTTTGCATCTGCCAGCTCAGCAACGGCACCAATCCAACGAGAAATAAACCTCTCTTTGTGCTATAAATGGAAGAATCACAAAGCACGCGGAAAAGTGCTGCTCTGGCTGCTGCAATCTATGCACGGCGGCAGCAATGACCAACTCCGGTCAACAGTTTCATCTCTAAATTTCTCAATTTTATCCTCTTCTTCTTCCTCTAATGGTAACCCTATACTGACACACAAGTTTGTTTTTTTTTTAATTAATTTTGAAAATCTTCATGACATAAGGTTGTACGATTATACTGACACAGTGGCGATTATACTCGTTTGTTTTTTCAGTTGTTTAATATTTGAATATTACCCCATCTACATTATAGTCAAAGTATCTATTTTCTGATAGGAATTTATGAGGCCTCAAATATAATTCTCATGATATCTATATGCCTTCGTATGTATCATAAATAATTTAAGCATGTGACTGAGATCTGCTAACCTATCACCATAATTATCATCACCTCAGCTCCATTTATTGTGTTGTCTCCTGTCTAGTATGAAATTTAACATCAATTAACTATGCAAAGTTACATATTCTTTTATTTTTATGTTCGGTTGATGACTATCCATTATATATCATCTATTGAATTAGTGTAGTAGGGCTCATTCATCAGAGAACCAGGGTACATCACACGTTGAAGCTGGAGTTGCCAGGCCTTTTATTGCTACGAGTCACAAAATGCGTAGTTCTGAAGCTGTGGTTGTTGAAATTGTGAACCTCAACATGCTACTAATGCTAACGGCCACTCTGTACATGGTGAAGTTGCATATGTGAGATGTGTTCAAGAGGATTATGACTTGTAAAAACCTCTAGAGCTTCCAAATCGGTTGAGTCTGAGACACCAACACAAGCTTCTCATGGTGGTGATTCACGAGTTGTGCGAAGTTTGAAAATGGGCTGCACGGTAATGGGTTTTGGCATTATTCCTAGCCTTCAAGGATTGTGACTGTTGCAAGGTGTGGATGTTTTCATCAACTTTCCATAAATACAGAGTAAAAAGTAACTCTGGTTTATCTATCTCAAAGAACTGCCAGTTAAACAGTATATTTGAACTAATCATGCATTTATTTTATACTTCCACACCTGAATACCTCAATCTGCTTATAAATTAACCTGTGTTTTTTTTGTTCCACTGCAGCAATACCTACCAGTTTTATGCATCACTTACATCGAGTATCAGTGCAACCAACATTATAGTATGCCTACCTCACTGGCTTCTCTTCACCCGGATGGCAAACTTCAGTACCGGCTAGTGCGAGGCCACCAACAAATGGTTCACCTTCTACTAGTGAGCAAACTTCAATATCAGAAGTTACAAATCACCAAGAAGACCCCCACCACCCATTAATTGCACTGTCTCTTGGCAGAAAACCTATGGCTGGCCAGCAGACTCTAGTTTTTTCAAGATCTTCCATGTTTGGGAAATCCTATAGGGCTTCTAACAAACCACCAGTTATCTGCTCTACTGAGAGGGGATATGCGGGATCCAGCGCCCCACCTCCAATCTTTCAAGCCCTCAAGATTTTGCTTGGCTTCTAACTTTTCCCCTTCAGCTCCGTCCTCACTCAACCATGCCCCGCCTCTACCTTAGGTAGATTCTTTTCAAAATTCAAAACCCAAGGATCATGTTGAACCCAATAACAAAACATCATTGCATAGCGCTACCATTTCTGCAACGGAGTTGCTCAGAAATCTTGAGGATTCTCTCGGAAGGCTTTCCGTAGCCCAGCAAAAATAGAGCGGTAGACAATGAACTTGGCATCTAATAATTATTATTTTTTTGTCTATCTAATAATGAAGAATGAACTTGGTATATTTTGCCCATTGTTTTGCTGGCCTAAGTTCTTATGCTTATCTATGGCCTAGTTGTAAGTTGTAATCTGTAACTAGTAACCATTAACATATGTGATCTTATATCTATATTTTCTCAACTCCTTTTGTATTTAAACTTTAAAGTACAACCATCTTGAATTATTTGTTGAGAAGCCTTTGAAGTCAGAAGAAAAAAGAAGAAAGTGTTGACATAAAAGAGATAAAGTGGAATTATCTATATTGGCGTCCTAGATCAACACTTAACACACGCCCATAAACCCCTCTTTCTTGGCCCTCTAGCTAGAGCAAAAAAGCAACTTTTCACTCTACATTAAACCTTTTAAATTCCTTCCTATCTTACATCTTTCTTTTCACTTTTCTTTTTATTTTTTTCTCCTCTCCATAAATGACAAAATTTTAACCTTATACTCCTTAAATGACAATATTGCCCTTCAAAAGGTTATCAACATGCCTACCCTAAATCTAGATTGCTTTTTTTTATCGAAGGTGCAGTACTTTTGACATCCACCTCAACTATCATTATGGTCATAGGCAGATTTACCAAGACACTATAGGGGGCTAGTGCTGTTAGGGTATCTCCTCAATTACCAAATATTAATTATGCTGGAGTTTATTTTATTTTTTAGTAATTAGAAAATAAAATATATATATATAATAAAACAAATAAGCAAATAAATAAAGGTGAGAAGATAAGAGTGAAAAGAAGAAAACAAAGGGAATTCAAAAAATGGAAAACTATCCTGCAACCATGCATGTGAAGGAGGCCCACTTCCTTACTTCCTTGTTTGAAAGGAATTGATTTATCCCTTATATCTCTTATCTTAGGGTACGGAGTATATTTGCTTGTTTATTTTATTCTTTGTGTGTGTGTGTTTCTTAATATATAAAGGAAGCAACACTCCCTTCTTAAAAGATGTGAGTGTAGACGTGTAGCAC